GTGGCGCGTTTCCATTACAGTTTAGGAACTGGGGTAGTATCTATAGTAACGCAGTGTAGGCGGAGCGACGCTGCTTAAAACTGCCGTGACGTCATCTTCAATGCGACACAACACACAACAATGGAGGATGTGGAAGCGATCGTTTGCTTGTTTCTTGCTGTGTGGCTACTTATCACAACAAAGAGGAAAAAGTTGTTTCGAAAGAGGCGACTTATAGCAAGACGAGGTATAGAAGAAGCTGACGCGAGAGTTTTAGGCAGTCCTACAACGCCGCAGAGACTACAGGACGACTCGAATCACTACTAGTACTACTTCTTCTAGACTACAATGCTACTTGGTAAGCTAACGTTCGCTAACTAGCAATGTGTTTAGGCTCACGCTCCCTATACGACCAAAGTGTTTCAAGTATTTAATTAATTGTAGCTACCACTTTTACGTATTAAAATATGTATGCTTTTGTTTGTGTATTTCAGAAGTTACGTCGCCGCCCTAGACCATGTGTTTGGATGCTCGACCGAGCTACCGAGTGGTGGAATGTGATTGTTCCATCTTTCACACACACTCAGTGGGTGGAGAACTTCAGGATGTCTGAAGAAACCTACGTCTACCAGGGGTAGCAGTGGCACAAGGTGCAGAGGAGGGCAGGGACATACGAGAGGGTCTGATGCGCTACCTGAATACCTAGAATGTAATACCTAAATATTAATTGAACATAAATAAATCTTTTCTTTTTCACATACATGTGTTTGTCAAATTATTTAAACCAAAAAAATGTTATCAGAATTGACTATTTAGTAAATATTTGAATTTCAAGCACCAGTACTTACTGCCCCATAATAATAATAATCTAATAAATTAAGCAAATATCAAAGCAAACTATAAACATAAATACAAAAGTGTAAAACACAGCAGAACTATATTCAGCCTCAAGGTTCAAGGTTTTTTATTTTGTCATACGAACATAGCTACAGTGTAGTTATGACAATGAACATCTTAGGTCACAGGCTCCTCCAACAGTGCAACACAATAACCCAGATCAACAGAAATATAGTGCAAGTAAATATTAAGCGCTGTGCACCGCTCTCTTTGTATAGGTGTTTTCTTTTGTTCTCTTCTCTTTGAAATATATAAGCAATGTGTTTGAGTCTAGCACAACGAGGGTATTACAATTGAGTAATTTTTACTACATGTATTTATCATGTATTCTTAATACCATTACAAAATATGTAATGTTATGTTTTAGAGGAGGACCTCAAGCTAGTAAACTCAATTCCAAACAGTATGCAGAGTTGTCCTGCTAAAGAGTTAAAATGTTTTATTTAACCAAGTATTTATTCTCTTATTTGCTTTAATTGCAACAGATGATAAAGGTTTCACTCTACAGTGCTTTGTGGACGATGATGGTGTTTATGATATTTCTGACTGCAGAGGGACGCCTAGATGATGCCATCTTTCTGTGTGATCGCTGGTGGGTGCAATTATTTATCAACAAGCAATAAGATAAGTCAAAGAAGTACTTTATTGAACACAATTTGGGAAGTGTTTTCTTGCAGCAGCATAAAAAAGGCATGGCATTGTAACTTACAAATAAAAAAATATTGGTGTCTGTGCTCGCGTTGGTGTCTGTGCTCGCGTTGGCGTCTGTGGTCGCGTTGGTGTCTGTGTTGGCGTCTGTGCTCGTGTTGGTGTCTGTGCTCGCGTTGGCGTCTGTGGTCGCGTTGGCGTCTGCGCTCGCATTGGCGTCTGCGCTCGCGTTGGCGTCTGCGCTCGCGTTGGCGTCTGCGCTCGCGTTGGCGTCTGCGGTCGCGTTGGCGTCTGCGGTCGCGTTGGTGTCTGTGTTGGCGTCTGTGCTCGTGTTGGTGTCTGTGCTCGCGTTGGTGTCTGTGTTGGTGTCTGTGCTCGTGTTGGTGTCTGTGCTCGTGTTGGTGTCTGTGCTCGTGTTGGTGTCTGTGTTGGCGTCTGTGCTCGTGTTGGTGTCTGTGCTCGCGTTGGCGTCTGTGCTCGCGTTGGCGTCTGCGCTCGCGTTGGCGTCTGCGCTCGCGTTGGCGTCTGTGCTCGTGTCTGTGCTCGTGTTGGCGTCTGTGCTCGTGTTGGTGTCTGTGCTCGCGTTGGCGTCTGTGCTTGCGTTGGCGTCTGCGCTCGCATTGGCGTCTGCGCTCGCGTTGGCGTCTGCGGTCGCGTTAGCGTCTGTGCTCGTGTTGGTGTCTGTGTTGGTGTCTGTGCTCGCGTTGGCGTCTGTGCTCGCGTTGGCGTCTGTGCTCGCGTTGGCGTCTGTGCTCGCGTTGGCGTCTGTGCTCGCGTTGGCGTCTGCGCTCGCGTTGGCGTCTGCGCTCGCGTTGGCGTCTGCGCTCACGTTGGCGTCTGCGGTCGCGTTGGCGTCTGTGCTCGTGTTGGCGTCTGTGTTGGTGTCTGTGCTCGTGTTGGCGTCTGTGCTCGTGTTGGCGTCTGTGTTGGTGTTGGCGTCTGTGCTCGTGTTGGCGTCTGTGCTCGTGTTGGTGTCTGTGTTGGTGTCTGTGCTCGTGTTGGTGTCTGTGTTGGTGTCTGTGCTCGTGTTGGCGTCTGTGCTCGTGTTGGTGTCTGTGCTCGTGTTGGCGTCTGTGCTCGTGTTGGTGTCTGTGTTGGTGTCTGTGGTCGCGTTGGTGTTGGTGTCTGTGGTCGAGCTGGAGTTTGTGCTGTTGATGTGGAGGATGTCGATGCAGAGGACGTTGTTGGGAACTGTTCCTCCTCGCTAGTCCCAATGTAATCATCTAGAACAGAAACATGACTTGTAAATTCCACAAACTACTGCAGCACAATACTATAAATAGCAACAACAACTATAGAAAATACAAACTGAACATAAACAATGGCACATATGGTGTTAGCAAACAATAGCTCTAGCTAATGCTATTTGCCTTAGCTAGCTAGCTAGCCTTCGGGGCTCCATAAAAGCATGGGTTGTCGAACATAAATGTAAGGATAAAATAGACTTATTTGTTAGAAGTGAGCTTTAGAACAGATAGGGACACAAAGCTTTCAAGAAAATAACAGAGCGTTAGCAAAAACTTACCATTCAGACTCCAGTAACGCTGTTGCAGAGTCCAGGCCTCCCTCCCAACGCTAGCCGGTCTATGGCCGGTCTATGGCCGTAAATGCTGTCCATTAGGTCAAACCACTTCCACGCGTTGGCGTCTGTGCTCGCGTTGGCGTCTGCGCTCGCGTTGGCGTCTGCGCTCGCGTTGGCGTCTGCGGTCGCGTTGGCGTCTGTGCTCGTGTTGGTGTCTGTGTTGGTGTCTGTGCTCGTGTTGGCGTCTGTGCTCGTGTTGGTGTCTGTGCTCGCGTTGGCGTCTGTGCTTGCGTTGGCGTCTGCGCTCGCATTGGCGTCTGCGCTCGCGTTGGCGTCTGCGGTCGCGTTAGCGTCTGTGCTCGTGTTGGTGTCTGTGTTGGTGTCTGTGCTCGCGTTGGCGTCTGTGCTCGCGTTGGCGTCTGTGCTCGCGTTGGCGTCTGTGCTCGCGTTGGCGTCTGCGCTCGCGTTGGCGTCTGCGCTCGCGTTGGCGTCTGCGCTCGCGTTGGCGTCTGCGCTCACGTTGGCGTCTGCGGTCGCGTTGGCGTCTGTGCTCGTGTTGGCGTCTGTGTTGGTGTCTGTGCTCGTGTTGGCGTCTGTGCTCGTGTTGGCGTCTGTGTTGGTGTTGGCGTCTGTGCTCGTGTTGGCGTCTGTGCTCGTGTTGGTGTCTGTGTTGGTGTCTGTGCTCGTGTTGGTGTCTGTGTTGGTGTCTGTGCTCGTGTTGGCGTCTGTGCTCGTGTTGGTGTCTGTGCTCGTGTTGGCGTCTGTGCTCGTGTTGGTGTCTGTGTTGGTGTCTGTGGTCGCGTTGGTGTTGGTGTCTGTGGTCGAGCTGGAGTTTGTGCTGTTGATGTGGAGGATGTCGATGCAGAGGACGTTGTTGGGAACTGTTCCTCCTCGCTAGTCCCAATGTAATCATCTAGAACAGAAACATGACTTGTAAATTCCACAAACTACTGCAGCACAATACTATAAATAGCAACAACAACTATAGAAAATACAAACTGAACATAAACAATGGCACATATGGTGTTAGCAAACAATAGCTCTAGCTAATGCTATTTGCCTTAGCTAGCTAGCTAGCCTTCGGGGCTCCATAAAAGCATGGGTTGTCGAACATAAATGTAAGGATAAAATAGACTTATTTGTTAGAAGTGAGCTTTAGAACAGATAGGGACACAAAGCTTTCAAGAAAATAACAGAGCGTTAGCAAAAACTTACCATGCAGACTCCAGTAACGCTGTTGCAGAGTCCAGGCCTCCCTCCCAACGCTAGCCGGTCTATGGCCGGTCTATGGCCGTAAATGCTGTCCATTAGGTCAAACCACTTCCAGTTTTTCCTACTGGCACCACTCGTGTTGTTGTTGTCTTTTACCAAGCGATATTCACTCTTCATCTTTTTGAGTTTTTCCCTACACTGCACGACAGTCCTTGAGTAACCGCTTGTGGACATCAGTGTAGAGACCTCCTGAAAGACTTTGATATTGCAAGTTGTCCCGTCGAGCTCCCGCTGGACCTTATTATCTGCAATATAATGGAGGAACGTCGTCACTTCCTCGACCGACCATGGCGTGCTTTTCTTTTCTTTGCCTCTGTTAACAAAAATGCTGTTTATAAAAATGCTGCAAGCTTCGTTATATATATGCGACGCTAGGGATTATGTCGCGCGCCGATTGTGACGATTCTCTCCGACCAATCAGCAGTCGAGAGTGTTGACGTCACACACTCAGCCTGGTTGTCTCTGGCCCCAAAACCACGATTTTATGAGGCCAGAAAAACTGTGAATTAGGACCCGCCAGCCGGTACTAGGCCAAGTGGAAACGCAACCAAAAACGGGCCGCTGACGTCACAGCCCTCTTAAACCGTGCTCCGCGCTGTCGTGGAAACGCGCCATAAGTGGTCGACCAATCACAACAGAGCCGGCCAGCTTACCATTCAGAGCAGACTGGACTCTGGTTTCAGACATAGGGTGAAAAGAGGCAGTATGACAACAATAAAGAGCTTTTTCAACATTAAAGCATGGAGACATGTCCCAGTGAAGACAACATACTAATACCAACCTGAAAATGAACAGAAAATGTCATCCTTGTTGTCCTCAGTCTCTGGTTGTAAATGTCTCTCTGGATCTGAGTTCCTGGCTGGTTCTGGTCCTCCACAGTCCTCGCCATCAGATTCTGTTTCCAGGTGTTCAGCTGAGCTGCTGGCTGGAGGCTCTGCCTCTCTGTTCTCCTCAGTTTGATGAAGCTGTGAGGACTGACGACCAACACACTTATGGCTTTTGACCAGATTACCCCGGATAAATCTTTTATCACAAACACTACAATGGAATGGTTTCTCTCCTGTGTGGATTCTCATGTGTCTCTTTAAATCTCCTGTATGTGTTATAGACTTCTCACAGACTGAGCAGCTGAATGGTTTCCCTCCTGTGTGGATTTTCATGTGTCTATTTAAATTTCCTTTATGTGTAAAAGAATTGTCACAAACTGAGCAGCTGAATGGTTTCCCTCCTGTGTGGATTTTCATGTGTGTCTGTAAATGTCCTTTCTGTGTAAAAGAATTGTCACAAACTGAGCAGCTGAATGGTTTCTCACCTGTGTGGATTTTCATGTGTGTCTTTAATTCTCCTTTACGTGTTAAAGACTTCTCACAGACTGAGCAGCTGAATGGTTTCTCTCCTGTGTGGATTCTCATGTGTGTCTGTAAATTTCCTTTCTGTGTAAAAGAATTGTCACAAACTGAGCAGCTGAATGGTTTCTCACCTGTGTGGATTCTCATGTGTGTCTGTAAATTTCCTTTCTGTGTAAAATAATTGTTACAAACTGAGCAGCTGAATAGTTTCCCTCCTGTGTGGGTGCTCATGGGTCTATTCAGATGTATCTTGCTGCAATTTTCTTTCCCGCACTGTGAGCATCTAAAGCATTTCTCTCTAGCACTACGTCTTGAATCACTGACAGGGTCTTGTTTATTTTTCGCAGACTTTGAAGCTGGTTCTCTGGGTTCTTTCCAATCTCCACTGTCTTCAGTGTCAGGTTCAGAAGAGTCTCCAGGGTTGTCCTGAGTCTCAGGTTGTAAATGTCTCTCTGGATCTGAGTTCATGGCTGGTTCTGGTCCTCCACAGTCCTCTCCATCAGCTTCTGTTTCCATGTGTTCAGCTAAGCTGCTGGCTGGACACTCTGCCTCTCTGTTCTCCTCAGTTTGATGAAGCTGTGAGGACTGACGACCAACACACTTATGGGTTTTGACCAGATTACTCTGGATAAATCTTTTATCACAAACACTACAATGGAATGGTTTCTCTCCTGTGTGGATTCTCATGTGTCTCTTTAAATCTCCTTTATGTGTAAAAGAATTGTTACAAACTGAGCAGCTGAATGGTTTCTCTCCTGTGTGGATTTTCATGTGTGTCTGTAAATTTCCTTTATGTGTAAAAGATTTGTTACAAACTGAGCAGCTGAATAGTTTCCCTCCTGTGTGGGTGCTCATGGGCCTATTCAGATGTATCTTGCTGCAATTCTCTTTCCCGCACTGTGAGCATCTAAAGCATTTCTCTCGAGCACTACGTCTTGAATCACTGACAGGGTCTTGTTTATTTTTCGCAGACTTTGAAGCTGGTTCTCTGGGTTCCTTCCAATCTCCATTGTCTTCAGTGTCAGGTTCAGAAGAGTCTCCAGGGTAGTCCTCAGTCTCAGGTTGTAAATGTCTCTCTGGATCTGAGTTCCTGGCTGGTTCTGGTCCTCCACAGTCCTCTCCATCAGCTTCTGTTTCCAGGTGTTCAGTTTGTCTTTGATGAAGCTGAGAGGACTGAGGTTTCTCTTCATCATCTTCACTCTTCACAGGGACAGGAGTGAATGTGGACTTGGTGATATCAGCCTCCTCCAGCCCTTGAAGCTGCTCTCCCTCCTGACTGATCCAGAGTTCCTCCTGTTCCTCTTTAATGTGTGGAGGGGGCTGTGGGTTCTCCTGGTCCAGACCGGAGCTCCACTCCTGCTGCTCAGGGGGAACCTCTTCTTTAACCACCACCAGCTGCTGGACGTCTGCAGAAAACAGGAAACACATATTCAGAGAAACTGTAGAGTATAAGAATTTAAAATCTAACCACGAGTAACACTTCATTAACTTTGCAGCCCTTATCCATTCCTTATTTTAAATGCTTGCCTATTGATTTGCTAAGTCCCGCCCACTCTGTGTTTCTGTTGGCTCGATTGTCTGTCAATTACACATTTTTTCCAGATGCTCTGGAGAGCTTCAGGACAACAGGTGAGTTAGTACTGTAGCTGATCTAAATCATAGTAACAGTGCTTAGTTTGGACAGGGAGAGCGTGGGGGCGAAGTTTCTACTTTTCTGTTTGCAGATATGAGTTTCTACATGTAGGTTTGAGTAATTCATGCTAATGTTAGTTAGCAGGGTTAGCTCTGTATTTACTGGCTGCATGAGATGTTGGTCTGTTTTTAGTGATTGTTTTAGACAGTTGGAGGGGGCTCCTATTAAGGCACTGCTAGCTGTGCCCTTCATTTAACACTTAGACAATAGGCAGGAGTAGTACTGTTGAGAAACCGGTGACCTACGTTTGCATAGCATAACTACACCGTAGTTGTGTATATGATATGACAATATCACCAAGGGGGGTCCTGTGTGGGTGGCAGCTCCTTCCCCAGCAGACCCAGTCCTCCAGAATTGTCCTAATCACAGAGTAAATGAGAAAAAGAAAAAAAATTAATTTATCTAATTATACACAGGGTGGCAAAATTATGATTGCAAAATGTAACTCAGCATTACAGACAAAACCATATTTAAAATGACGTACTGTTTTAGTTTAAAAAAAAAAAGAGAAGTGACAGTCACAGCTAGCATCCCTTTGACAGCACTCCAAAAACTTAAATCAAGCAAAAGTCTTCTGTCCATTTCTGATGGTCTTATTATTATGAGATAAGGATACATATTTCCTGGATTATTCGAACCACGCTCCGAAGCCTCGGCGCAGTACTTAAAGGTAGGGTAGGTAAGAATGGAGAAACCAGCTCGAGTGCGCTAGAATTTGAAAGAACACAACCGAAAGAAATCTGCCTCTTCCTTCAGACTTCCTCACAGAGCCCCTCCTCCAACACAAACGAACGCGCACATGACCAATGAATTACCTACCCTACCTTTAACATCACTATAGATTATGTTCCAAACCACATCAAGCATTATTTCTGAAACAGTATGGAGCTCAAACGCTTTCTCTCTTGCGGGTTTAGCACAAGGTGAGTTCCTTTAATATCCGGCTTCTTCACACATACTCCCTCCAGTACAGCGTTAGCTCTCAGTGTTAGCGATGCTTGCTAATGTAATCAGACCATATTACTCCCAAAACACGTTGCGCATTATTCTGATACAGCGATGTTTCTGATAGGTTGGGGCGGAACGTTTATTCAGTGTTTATCACTAGAACAGTGCCATTGTATGTATTAGTATTGTCACGATACCAACATTTTAGTTTCGATACCGATACAGAGTCAAGAATTGCGATTTCTTAAAAAAGGGGAAACTGTCTTAAATGTCATCATTGTGCTTTATTTCAAACCTGGAAAAATGTTTCAGTCATAACACAAACCTTTGAACAATGAGAATAATAAATAAAACTAGAAAATGCATTTCCTGCAGAAAATGCGTGCGAATGCTGTAAACTGTGAACATTTGTGGCTGAATTTAGCTGAAAATGCAGAAAAAGCTGAATATGTTATTAGCTGAATGGTAGCTGCTTTTAGCTACACAAATGCAGAAAAAGCTTAATATTTAAAAGAAAAGGTTTAAAAAAAAAGGTATAAACTACAACATGTATAGCCTTGATGTCCTGAAATAGCTGAATAATGTAATAGTTGAATGGTTTCTGCAGCTGAAAATAGGCTGAAGGAGTTAAATATCAGATGTAAGTAGTAGTGAATGAATTTGTATTAAGATGAGAAAAGAAAGTAAAAAGGCTTGGGAAAGCAGCAGAATATTTGAACTTCAAGCTTTTGAACTAACTTGATGGTGAATTATCTGTCGCCATGGCAACGGCATTTGATGACACCCCATAATACGCTTAGATGTGTTGATGGCTGCGTCGTTACCAAACCTGTGAAGTTTTGGGCCATTTCGAGCATTTTCACTGAAGTTATGAGAAAACCGTGTTTCATGGTGAGCATTGTGTTGCCATGGCAACGGCATTTGAAGAAATCTCAAAACTGTCCCGTAGATGTCTTCACGGCTGGACTGTTAGCACACATGTGAAGTTTGAGCACTTTTTGAACATTTTCATAGGAGTTATACATTACATTAGGAGGTTACATTACTCTCTCTCTTCTCTTGATCGCCCTCTCTCTTCTCTTGATCACCCTCTCAATCTTCTATCGCCCTCTCTCTCTTCTATTGATCGCCCTCTCTCTCTTCTCTCTCTCTCTTGATCGCCCTCTCTCTCCTCTTGATCGCCCTCTCTCTCCTCTTGATCGCTCTCTCCTCTTGATCGCCCTCTCTCTCTCCTCTTGATCGCCCACTTTCTCTCCTCTTGATCGCCCTCTCTCTCTCCTCTTGATCGCCCTCTCTCTCTTCTCTTGATCGCCCTCTCTCTCTTCTCTTGATCGCCCTCTCTCTCTCTTCTCTTGATCGCCCTCTCTCTCTTCTCTTGATCGCCCTCTCTCTTCTCTTGATCGCCCTCTCTCTTCTCTTGATCGCCCTCTCTTCTCTTGATCACCCTCTCAATCTTCTATCGCCCTCTCTCTCTTCTATTGATCGCCCTCTCTCTCTTCTCTCTCTTCTCTTGCTCGCCCTCTCCCTCTTGGTCGCCCTCTCTCTCCTCTTGATCGCTCTCTCTCTCCTCTTGATCGCCCTCTCTCTCTCTTCTTGATCGCCCACTTTCTCTCCTCTTGATCGCCCTCTCTCTCTCCTCTTGATCGCCCTCTCTCTCTCCTCTTGATCGCCCTCTCTCTCTCCTCTTGATCGCCCTCTCTCTCTTCTCTTGATCGCCCTCTCTCTCTCTTCTCTTGATCGCCCTCTTCTCTTGATCGCCCTCTTCTCTTGATCGCCCTCTCTCTCTTCTCTTGATCGCCCTCTCTCTTCTCTTGATCGCCCTCTCTCTCTCCTCTTGATCGCCCTCTCTCTCTCTTCTCTTGATCGCCCTCTCTTTTCTCTTGATCGCCCTCTCTCTCTCCTCTTGATCGCCCTCTCTCTGTCCTCTTGATCGCCCTCTCTCTCTTCTCTTGATCGCCCTCTCTCTCCTCTTGATCGCCCACTCTCTCTCCTCTTGATCGCCCTCTTCTCTTGATCGCCCTCTCTCTCTTCTCTTGATCGCCCACTATCTCTCCTCTTGATCGCCCTCTCTCTCTCCTCTTGATCGCCCTCTCTCTTCTCTTGATCGCCCTCTCTCTCTCCTCTTGATCGCCCTCTTCTCTTGATCGCCCTCTCTCCTCTTGATCGCCCTCTCTCTCTTCTCTTGATCGCCCTCTCTCTCCTCTTGATCGCCCTCTCTCTCTCCTCTTGATCGCCCACTCTCTCTCCTCTTGATCGCCCACTCTCTCTCCTCTTGATCGCCCACTCTCTCTCCTCTTGATCGCCCTCTCTCTCTCCTCTTGATCGCCCTCTCTCTCTCCTCTTGATCGCCCTCTCTCTCTCCTCTTGATCGCCCTCTCTCTTCTCTTGATCACCCTCTCACTCTTCTATCACCCTCTCTCACTTCTCTTGATGTGTCTGTGAGAGAGAGGGAGAGTGTGTGTGTGTGTGTGTGTGAGAGAGAGAGAGAGAGAGAGAGAGTGTGTGTCTGTCTGTATGTCTGTGAGAGAGAGAGAGAGAGAGTGTGTGAATTGTTACAGCTAAAATGCATTGCAATGACTTCCATATTAAAAAAAGACTTTAAAAAGCTGAATATTTTAAAAAGTATAACATATTTTGAAAAAGTTGAAAGTTTCCCATCATGTGCTGAAAAGGCTGAATAGTTTGATATTTGAATGGTTCCTGCAGCTGAAATTAGGCTGAAGGAGTTAAATAAAGACATTAAATGTAAGTAGTAGTGAATGAATGTTTACAAACACCTGTGTGTGTAAACCCAGAGATGAAAGGTTACCATGGTGACGACTTATGACGATTTTCCAACTGCAGCACTGAGTCCCATTAAGAATGCATTGAGGATTATATCTGACAATTTTGTCACCTGTTCAAAAACTATGGCTCCTAACAAAAAATGACCAGACCGTGAGCATCAGGGAACCCCAATGAACTGATATGTTGTTTTTTTTGGTTTTGTGTGTAAAATGTGGAGATGGGAGCAGTTTGTCTAAAGTGTACTTCTCTCTGTTCTGAAGAAAGTTCCGGAAAGATTTAACATGGGAATTAATTGGGAGCTAGCTGGACTTTTTGTCTCTTCATGCCCTCAAGAGGCATTTTGTTTAATATTTCTTCTTAATTTTTTTTCATTTTCCAACCTAGGAGAGGTTTTCCTACGTTTTTCATGAAAAAATATGTCTGAGGAGTGTCGGGTTTGGGAATTATGGCAAGTTTAAAACATTTTTGGGGGAGAATTTGAAGAACTGCTGCACTCTGTTTTGAGATCAAAGCACTCTAGACTTAACGAGCTGCTCCATCCACACTAATGTTAAAATCTGAAGAAAGCCTCTTTACCAAGCTCCAAACAAAGTTAATTATCTCAAAAAGTGTAAAAGATATCAAAAATAAAAGTCAAGTTTGAATAGCTGAAGGTCTTGTGATCATTTGGAAGTTGGAATGAAGTGTCTAGCTGAAAGTATGTGGAAGGAGTAGCATTTGGCGCAAAGTGTAGGAAAAGAGGATTTGAAGGCATCTCCCATTGACTTCAATGTTTAAAAAAAAGAGTTTAAAAAGCTGAATATTTCAAAAAGTATAAAATATTTTTTTTAATTTGAAGGTTTCCCATCGATTCCTGAACAGGCTGAATAGTTTGATATTTGAATGGTTTCTGTAGCTGAAAGTAAGCTGAAGTTATGGAGAGCCAAAGTATGGTTGAAATAATAACTAGAAAATGCATTTCCTGCAGAAAATGCGTGCAAATGCTGTAAACTGTGAACATTTGTGGCTGAATTTAGCTGAAAAAGCTGAATATGTTAGTAGCTGAATGGTAGCTGCTTTTAGCTACAAAAATGCAGAAAAAGCTTAATATTTAAAAGAAAAGGTTTAAAAAAACATGTATAGCCTTGATGTAATGAAATAGCTGAATAATGTAATAGTTGAATGGTTTCTGCAGCTGAAAATAGGCTGAAGGAGTTAAATATCAGATGTAAGTAGTAGTGAATGAATTTGTATTAAGATGACAAAAGAAAGTAAAAAGGCTTGGGAAAGCAGCAGAATATTTGAACTGCAAACATTTGAACTAACTTTATGGTGAATTATCTGTCGCCATGGCAACGGCATTTGGTGACACCCCATAATACGCTTAGATGTGTTGATGGCTGCATCGTTACCAAACCTGTGAAGTTTTGGGCCATTTCGATCATTTTCACTGAAGTTATGAGAAAACCGTGTTTCATGGTGAGCATTGTGTTGCCATGGCAACGGCATTTGAAGAAATCTCAAAACTGTCCCGTAGATGTCGTCACGACTGGACTGTTAGCACACATGTGAAGTTTGAGCACTTTTTGAACATTTTCATAGGAGTAATACATTACATTAGGAGGTTACATTACTCTCTCTCTTG